GGCGAGGCGGGCGTCGTGGGAAAGGAAGAGGGCGCATCGCCCGAGCGACCGCAGAGCATCCGCATTTGAGAGCCGGCGAAGGAGGGGTTCCTATGAAGGGGCCAAATGCCCCCCCAAGTAAATAACACCTCTCAAGTCCAGCTTTCGTCCTCCTCTCGCTTTCACGAGCGAGAGAAGTGGGCGGATGCTTCCCGTGATTGACGGGAGGCTGGGCCAACCAGCCAGCCAGCTGACGACTACCTGTTGGAACGTGCAGGTTTGTCTCGGGCGCTCGCCCCGATTCTCCCAACGCGGAAGCCTCTTGCCGGAACAGAAGGGCCCCCGCGGGGAGGGGCCAAGCCCGGGGCCCGACTATGGAGCCCGTCTCTCTCTGGAGCCCCCAGACGGTGGTGGCTTGGATCCGAGGTAGGGGGCGGCGATCTTTGCGGGGCGGGTGAAGACTCCCTCCGGCCAGGCTGTGTTTTGACGAGACTCGCTCCGGCCGGCCGCTCGCTGCGGGAGGAGTTGTCCGGGGGCTCTGCGGCTAACCCATTGCCGCCCCCCAGGTGAGAACTGCCCACCTGCCAGGGGCGGGGCGGCAGTCGGAGAGGAGCCAGGTGGCCGTGCATTCCTGCGAAGGGCAAGGCTGGCCTGCCCGGCTGGGTTTAGGAAGCGGGTGGGGGTGTTTCCAGGTATTGATGGGAGCCGGGGGAAGGGGGGTGAAGGAGCTTTAGCCAAGAATTTGGAGGTGACGGCACCTCCCCCCCTCCCTCGTCCCCTCTCAACTCCTTAAACACAGTGGTGCTCCTTGAGGACTTCTCTGGCAGAACTGGAAAGGGGTGGAGAAGAAAGTGAAGGCAGATCCTGCCAAGTTAACTTTCTTGGAAGGCATAACTCTAAATCCACAAGAGGTTAGATTTAGTGGAACGACGACGTGGAGCTCTAAATGGCCTGCCTGAGAGTTAATGCTCACTCCCTTGCATTTTATTTATGAGGACGAAGCTCTTATACCCTCCCCTCTGACTCCCACCCCATCCCTTATTCCCTTATTGGTACTGAAATAGGACTGGGGAGACCCAGATTCAAGTAGTCACTCAGCACTTGCTGTCTCTCAGCCTAACTTACCTCGCAGGATTGTTGGGAAGATAAAATAGATGTCTCTTGAGCATTCAGAGGAAAAGATATAAACATAATACCTAGGGTTATGTATATACAGTATGGGTGTGTATATGCTCTTAGCATGTTGCTAGCTGGCTTTTATGTTATATTTCATCTGCTACAGTACATTCCACCATCCTCTGACAGTTTCTGTATACTGTTATTTATTTCCAGTCATTCTTTGCCATCTTTCAAGGCAGAAAGCGCATCTCCTCTCCCCCCCAATGGCTCAAGCACAAACTCAGCTCATTTAAAATGCAAATCTTAACCCAGCAATCTAAATCAGCAAATTGCATTAGAATTGAGCAGCCCTAAATACAATCTAGTTGTCCTGGCTAACGATAGAATGAAAACTGCCCCTGAAAAAGCTTGTTCTTATTCTGTCCATCTGTCTAATGTAGTGTTTCTCAACCTTGGCCACTTTCAGATGTGTGGACTTCAACTCCCAGAATTCCCCAGCCAG